CACAATTGAAAGTGTAAATGGATTGCAGGGATGTGGATGGTCTGATGCGGTCAGCTGAATTTCAAGGTGATAATAATGTTCTTTGTCATTATAAAAGATGTTGTTGCTTTATGAAGAATAGACGTTATGGTCATGCTATCTGGAAGAGTTGGTCTAGGATAATAATTAAAAGTATTTGGTCTGTTTGTCGAAACAACACATTTGAATTTGATTTTATTTATTTTATTTGAAAATTGATCTTGAAGATGGGTAACTTGATCGCAACCACAGAATATTGCTTATCAAAATAATTATTCAAATGAGATACTTAATACTATAAGCCAACAACTTAATAGAGTTGAAAATAATCAAAATAAAGATGACACATTTATACCTACTCCATCTACTCCACTAAACACTCAAATAGTAAATCCCATGTTTGTTCCCCAACAACTAATTTAGGATATAATAAAAAATTAGTTAATGAGTTAGAACAAAAATTAAATGGATTCAAAATTAATACAATTGATCRAAATAYTGATAGCTCTTCAGAATCAGATGAAGGTTGCGATCAAGTTACCCATCTTCAAGATCATTTTTCAAATAAAATAAATAAAATCAAATTCAAAGGTGCTGTTTCGACAAACAGACCAAATACTTTTAATTATTATCCTAGACCAACTCTTCCAGATATTCAATAYGAAGATAGAGAATTCTCTATGAGTTGTAGTCAATACGATGGTACATCTGTATATGAATGGAATATAGACGAACAAAAATTAAATGGATTCAAAATTAATACAATTGATCGAAATATTGATAGCTCTTCAGAATTAGATGAAGGTTGCGATCAGCACCAGAAGTATGTTTCATAGAAAATAAATCCATTATTCTATTTATATGAATTCACTTGTACTAAGATTTGAATATCGTTCTTCTAAGAAAACAAGATTTTTCTAATAATTTTTGGGCTATCAGCTTTCTTATGGACTGGTCCGGTTGCACGTCTTACGCTCCTTTTTATTATATCCTAAATTAGTTGTTGGATCTTATGATGAACGGTCCTGTCCGAATTGGTATCAAAGCCAAACCGACACCTTGCCTTGATGTTGAATAATTGGAATTTGTCTGACAAATTGAATCAATCGTCCTGTTCTTCATAGATTTCTTCACCCGAAGTATGTTTCATAGAAAATAAATCCATTAATCGAAATATTGATAGCTCTTCAGAATCAGATGAAGGTTGCGATCAAGTTACCCATCTTCAAGATATCCGTCTATAT